ATAGTTATTATTTAATATTAATATATTTAAGTATATTTAAATTGTGTATTTGTTACAGAGTATATGTGTGGCCTCTACAGGCTTATAGTACCCCTAATTATGTTATTTAATAGGGATTTGTATGGCTGTGCAAGACAAGTTTACAGCAAGTGATAAGCTCTCAGTGTAAACATTTTTAATAGAAAAAAAAAAATCCCCTAAAGGAGGGTTGTCCTGTCCTGCTCATGGTAGGAACATACCTGGCAGGTAATATATCATTACTACCTTTTCAGACAATACCCAGGAAGGGAGAACTTCTGAGTCTGTTACAGCCTTCACTAAACCAGGTTTTGACCAAGGATTTGCAGTAAGCAAGAGAAAATTAAATTGATAGAATTTCCTGGCATAAATAATCTTTGAATAAATAATTTATCTGTAATAGTCTTTTGTGGACCAGTACTTAAAAGACAGATTAGTTTTCTTACCCACATTTTGCTCTCTGAAGTTTACAGATGCCCATCCCTGCTTACCATGGGCTCTTCCATTGGAATATTTTGTGTTTTCAGGCAAAAAACAGATATATATAACAGGTAATTACTCTTCCCTTTGTTTTCCAGAGGGGATGTGTCTGCCTGGGACATGTGCATTGCTGGTCATATAGGCCAGAAGATTCTGGGCTTGTGAATGTGACACAATGTGAAATTCCTATGATTGTGTAGTAAGTAATTTGTATTTTTTACATATTTATTTTCAGAAGACACATTTGTCAGATTTGGCCTAACTTAAGGCAGAGGAGGGAACATGATTTAGACTTGTCCTTTTGTCACAGCTACGTTACATATTCCTGAAAAACTAAATGTTTGCTTTGTGGCCTTTACTGCTCTTTAACATAAACATCTAATGTTATAATATTTCCTTCTCTTTTAACATAGGTAATTAGCAAGAACCAAACAATGGACACTCAATTATTTTCCACATTATTAGGAGCAATTCCTAGTACTCCACCACCTCTGGAATCTTCCCGACTCTACAGTGACTGGGCAGCGTGTGGAGAGGATATTGGCTCAAGCACTGCTTTCCAGGACTGCCCAAAGAAACGGTATGAACAGCCCTGGTGTGACCTTCTGGAGGTGTTCTGGAACACTGAAATTGTTGTGCTGAAGAACAAACAGGATTCTGGATCTTTTAAGGAAGAGTTTACTGGATAACTAGGAACTCAATAGATTTTCTTTGCTGTGTAATAGTTACTACAGAGGTTCTGAAAAAAAGCTGAGGGGTTTCTCTTGTTTCTGTCTTAATGCTAAGTGCTGGCAACATAATACTGCCTTTTTAGGAGGGTTGGTTGGTAGACACTGACAGCTTTTGACACTGATGATGCTTTTCTAATGAGCATTTCTCACATCTCACTGCATTTTTTTTTATCACTTGCTGATAAGAAAGAGGATATTTGAGGTGGGGAGAAACAAGAGTCCACTGGGGTCACAAGATGCTGTAAGGTAACAGTTAAGGAACATACATGTATTGCAGAAAAGCTAATTTTTTTTTTTTTTGCTAGCCTTCCCTGGGAAGTGCCCCAGAGATGTTTATTTTTGAATGAAATATCATATAGCTTTAGTATTTGCTGTAAGTGCTAAGTTTGAGCACTGACATTCTGCTAATTAAAATATACAGTATTTTCTTAAAAGCAGTTTTTAGATTAATTGCAAGGTAGCAAATGCAAGGTAGCTTTTAAAAAGAATAAAATTAAGGATTGAAACTAAATGGTACTTGTATGTTTGTGATAATCCATATCTATACCCATTCTGAGCCTGCAGATATATAGTATTTCTTGAGGCTAAAAACCTCTAGATGTTTATATTTTCCCTGTAATGTTTTAGAGTATTTGGTGCCTGACTGTATTAGGTGGAACACACATGTAACATTTTGGTTTCTCTAAGCTTCTCCACAAAAGCAGCTGATCCATCATTGAAGATTTCTTTGCAGTGTAACTTTGTTCATGCTCTTGTCCTTTTAATTCTCAATTTTTTGGCCCAGTTATCAATTATCAGTTAGTTCTACATTCATAAAACATTTTCAAGAGTCTTTGCACTTCTGTATATCCTGAATAAAATCATACAGACCACATTACTGAGGGAACTGAACAGTCATGAAGTAATCATAGAGGTAGTTGGAAGTCAAGATGTGGTGAGGTCTTAAAATCCGGGAAGGTCTAAGTGACTCATTTTCACTGTGGCAAGAGATTAACAAGGTGATTAGCTTTATCCCATATTTTATAGTCTTTGTTAATCAGCAAAATTAGTGAGCAATTATGTGGTAGCATTAGCAGATGGTGTACTTTGGATTAGTTGAAGGGAAGTCTCAGAGTTCTTCAGGGACCCTGAAAGGAATGAGCTGAGTGAGGATTGGGTGGTAAGTGAAGTTTATTGAAGCAAAACAATGTGTGAGAGGGAAGGAGATTTTAATAGTGTTATGTTATAATTAACTTCTGAGTAAGGGCTGAGTGTCATTACAGATCTCATTTTACACCTGAAGTAAAAGTTGGGCTTGTGTAAGAGTAGTGATGATAGAACACCTCTGGTCTTTATCAGGAAAGGTTTTACCAACTCCTTTTTAAAAGAGGATTAAAAAGTGGTTCAACTTCATTAAAGCTTTTTTTTTTTAAGATGAAAATAATAGTTTTTGAAGTAGATAAATTAGGTAGTGAGAATATTGATCATATTTATCCTCCAAACAAGACAGTCAAGGTTTAAATAAATATCTGTGCAATATTGTGTTTCTTGGAAAGAGAGGAAAAATGCTGCTATCTCTTCACATAACAGCTTGGGAAGTGTCTGGTGAAGCAAGAAGTTAAGAAAATTGTTCTACTTCGTTTAAGCTATAGAATTTGCTGCTGTAAGAAGAAATTTCTGTATGTGGATGCTGAGGATACATTAAATTCAGAAAACCCAGCACCTGCTGCTAAAATAAATTCAAGTTAAATTGAATTTTCCATTTGCCTGTTTTGTTCAGTAAAAAAAAAATAATTAAGTTTTGTTTGTTTGTTTTGTTGTTGTTTTCAGGGCACCAGTAAATCTTTCTTATTCTGGCAATGGCCCTGACATGTTTGGGCTAGTGTCAAGCATTTTAGAGGAGCCAAACAAGCCTGAGCCAGTAACAGATTGGTAAGTTTGTTCTGAAAGTTCTTACAGTTTGTGTATTGTTTGGTTTTGCCCATTGTCAGAGATATGATGCATAAATCCCCTTAAAATGTAGAAGTGTTTCTTTACTTCACTTGACAGTAGGAAAAGAAAAGGCAATAAACTGTTAGAGATGCATATTTGCTGAAGTCTTCTATCAGTTTTACAGCATTTCGGGAGGGAAAAATATAACTGATTTTAACTAGTAGGAACTTGAGTGAATACAATTGATCTAAAATAGTTAATAAATCCAAATAAACTCTGAATTTATGAATATACATATTATGAACAGTAGAGAACCATGTTGATAGTGAGATTTCCTGGAGTGGGAATATTCCTCCCTGTAAATTCTGGTGGAGAGCTGTATGTATATGGTTAGCCAAAAATGGAATGGGGGAAACACGTGGTGGTGCAGAATAACTATGGTGTGTGAACTGTTCTAATGTAAGAAATGTTTTACATCGTGACAGGACATTTGTTTAACTTTGTTACAGGAATTCTCTTTCAAGATTGTTTCCTCCTATGTGGGCATCTGATCTTGGAAGCAATGGTGAATTCTCAGGGCTCTCAACTAAGCACTCTGTGGAAAGTAAGGATTTTTCAAACCTGATGGGCACACAGAGCTGCCATCAGGAACACCTGCAGAAGTCTCCTGATGTGATGTTACACAGAGGCTTGGGAGATCTTCAGTTGATAGAGTCTTGGCTTTCTCCATCTGGGCCTTGCACTCAGCCTGACAATGTTCTGAAGAACAGTTACCCTGAAAATTATGCATTGCAAAACAACAACACAATTCACCCAGAAGAATTTTCATTTCAAAATGGAAATGATAATCAGCCTTTGTGCGGTTACAACCATGTGAGGTTAAATGGTGACTATGAAAAGCTTGGTTACAATTTAAGCCCTTTTTCTCCTCAGAACAAACTGAAAGAAGGCACTAACATTCAGAAAGAGCATTGGAAAAGTGAAAGAGCAAGAGGCAAAGCTCTGAAAAATTATGCTCAAGAACAAACTAAGTATTCCCCGGAGTTTTCCAATCAGCCTTTTGATAACTCTTGGGATAAAGTATCCCAGGACAACCTCTTGTTTTCTAAAAGATATGAAAACTTCACAGCTGCTCATAAACTGCAGTCATCTGTTCATCCATCACTATCCTTTTTCAATCAAGCCCCTAAGGAAAATAAATTTTGTGGAGGAACAGTCAGAAAACTCCAAGAAAGCCAAAATGGCCATTGTGGCTTTACTTTGGGGGATGCTTTTAATAATAATGAATGTAAGATTCATATTGGTCCTAAAGAATGCTCTCATAAAGCAGCTGAATATGATTTACCTGTGAAAAATGCTATGCAAAATGGGAGTTATTCATCCTACCACAGACATATGTGGCTGGATGGGAAAGGTCTGACAGCTGCGTCGGATATCCCATATGGAAAACAAGTGGTAACAAGTCCACAGTCATCTTCAGGGGTTTCAACCATGTCTGGTGGTTCTCCAACTCATCAGTCTGTAACACAGTCCTCTTACTTCTCACAGCTCTTACCTGTTCTCCCTCCAAGGAAAGATGGAAGGTTACAAATATCAAATGGTGTTTCTAATAATCTGGGAGTTTCTAATTTCACCTCAGAAAACCAGAAGCAAATTAAACCCATTGGCCGATCCCAGCAGGATTCATTGACTAATCAGGAGGGGCCATACCCTAAATTCCCTGTTCATTTTTCATCTGACTGGTTAACTCAGCAGAAGGCCGTAAGGGAAGACCATGGAAAATACCACCAATTTCCAAAAAAACAGACTCAAGAGAATTATAACAAAGATGATAGAAGAGGCAGAAGGAATTGGATTCCTCATTTTGGATATAAACCCCCAAACAGTCAGCAGTTCAATATGTTCCCAAAAAACCATGAACAGAATGGTGGCAGCTTGTCAGATTTCATCAATCCTTCTCTTCTTCCTTCTTTCCCATTAATGTCTGATTTGAAGCAAAATCCCAACTTCCCACCATTTAATCACCATCTATTTTCATCAGCAAATAATTTGGGTTTTCCTCCAGCACCATTTCCATTCTCAGAACTTGTTGATCTGTTTCACTATGATGACCTTAACCCCCTGAGTCCCTTCCTCAATGATCTCTTTTGTGGGGATGTAGCTGCACCCTACTTTGGCTTTCCAACACCATTTAACAAGTACAGACCTCCAAGGAACCGCAGTGGACCTGCCAACGAGCTTCATATCCGACTGGAGGAGTGTTATGAGCAGTGGAGAGCTTTGGAGAAGGAGAGGAAGAAGGTAAAATACAACTGATAATAACTTCCTGATAAGAACATGACTGGTTTTAAATCATGTGAAGAAAGAACATTTTATGGTGTTTCTTGTTTGGTTGGAGTTTCATGGTTCTTCTTTTTTGATTGGTTTGTTTGGGGTTTTTTTACTGTCAGTGATATAGTTGTGTCTTTCTCTTACTCTTTTTGTTTCTCATTTTGCTGAATCTTTTGTTTTATCAAAAAGAAAATGAAGTAACTAATCTGGAGCACCCTGTACATGGGTGTAGAGAAAACCTACAGTGTTTTGAATGCAAATTCCTTCTCCCAAAGGAAATTCCAATTTAGGCTTTTTATTAAAGTCATTTTCCTGCCTGAGACTCTCCTCCTAAGAACTGTTGTCAGGGAGGGCTCACACTGAGAAATGTATTACTCTTGGGAACGAAAGCTCTGTGCCCTTGTTGAGGAATGCATTTAGTGCAGGGAAGTTCCCTTAACACTCTAAAGGAGCAGGAGGTGCTTTCCCAAGAGGAGTAAAATCTCTGAACCCCATTTCAGGTCTCAGACTAAATTGTCCCTAATCCATGGTCCTAATTATACACTGAGTGCATGGCTGCTTCTTCCATGTCAGAATGACTCCTGCTCTGATAAAGAGACAGATATCTGACCGAAGTACATCTCTAGAGAGTGCCTTTTTCTTTCCAGCATCAGGTGTGGGACCTTCCTAATGGACCTTTGGAAGTGTAAATAGACCTGTCTGTATTGTTGTCTCACAGAAGCCTTTAAACAAGACTCCTCACTGCCTGTCTGGTCTTTTAGGCATTCTCTTCAAATGAGGAAGGCTGCTGGTGATTCTTGCTCCAGTGTTTTCAGAAACTCTTCTGCTTTCTGTTGTGGCTTTTCCAAACCTGCTTAGGCAGGATTTGGGACAATTAGGTTGTTTGGGAAGACCAAATAATAGGTTTTTTTATCTTATATAATTTTTGTTTTCATCATTAAAGGAGGATTGTTTATCTTCATACTGTGTGCTTAATAATCAAAGGGATTTTATTGATTAACTTGATCTGGTCCTTTCTCAGTCCCTGATTTTTGTAGTTAGACTACACCTGAAAATACCTTTGTGAGTATGAACTGTTCTCAGTCTCACTTGCCAACTACCATAGCCTGACTCACATTCCTACAGCCAAAATACATATTCCTCAGAAGGGAGTATGCCCTTCCAGCTTTCAGAAACCTCTTCATTGCAGCTGCTTTGGAGTCATGGTGACAGTGAGCTTATCTGTCTCCTTTCATAAAGCTCATTTTTCCAGGGATCTCACATTTGAAATATTTCTACAGATTGCCTGCTTGGAATTGCAATATTAAATGTACATTTACATTAGTACTGGGAACTGCTTATAGTAGTTCTTAAATAGCTGATGGTGTTGTATGAATCCATGACTCTTTTCCCATCCATTTTTTTCTGGATGCCTTTCAGGCTTCTCAGATGAGTACATGTGGAATCAGTCAGCTCTTGTAATCCATGTTAGGTGAGGACAGAGACTAAATATCATGGAAGTGTCAGTAAAGCAAAAAGCAAAGGACTTCAGCACATACTTTCAGTACAAATGTACATAGTGTGAATGTAGACTTAACCTTGCCTTGAACTGCAGTGTGGGACCTGGTCCCTCTCTCCCAAGTCCATTGTACACTGAAGAAGGAATGAGATAGAGAAGCTGCTAGTGTCTTTTTTTTTGCTCCAAGTATAAGAAGTTGCTATCCAAAAATAGGTTTGGTGATGTTTAATCACTGCTATGTTATATAGTGGTTTGGCCAGTTCCTTTCTCAGTGGGAGTTTGGCAGCTGTGTGAATAGTTTTTCAGAGCTGATATCAGTTTATGTTAAATAAACTCCAGATACAATTTCTGCTGCTGTGATCACCTGTGGTTATTTAATAACCATATGTGACATTTGAGAGCACCAGTGAAAGGCATAGGGTTTAAATTCATGGTCTCACAGAATCATTAATGTTGGAAAATACCTTTAAGATCAACAAGTCCAACGATCAACCCAACACCACCATGTTCACTGCTAAACTATGTCCTCAAGGGCTTCAAGTACCCATTTCTTGGGTATTACACAGGAATTTCTTTGCCTGGGTCTGTGTCCAAGATTGGTTAAAATAAAGCTGTACAGCTTTGAATCTAAAAGCTGCCACTGAGAATTGTACCTTGAGGGAGAGCTGAATTAAGGAAGTATTCCTGCAGGAAAGCTGGAGAGGGACTTTGGACAAAAGCATGTAGTGTTAGGTCGAGGGATAGTGGCTTTAAACTGACAGCAGCTTTAGATTGAGGAAGAAATTCTTGGTTGTGAGTGTGGTGAGGCACTGGCACAGGTTGCCTAGAGAAGCTGTGGCTGCCCCATCCCTGGAAGTGTTCAAAGCCAGGTTGAATGGGGCTTGGAGCAACCTGGTCTAGTGCAAGGTGTCTGTGCCCATACCCAGAGGAGTGGGACGAGATAATCTTCAAGGTCCCTTCCAACCCAATCCATTCTGTGATTCTATGCTATTTGGGAACATTTTCCAGTAAATGTAGTCAGAAGCAGAGAGAGGGAGCTCAATTCTCGTGTACCTGAAAGTTCTAAACAGCCTCAAAAATGGATTGCAATATTCTACTAATTTCCAGCATTAACACTGGTTATTCACTTCTCTTCCAGACTGAAGCTGATCTTGCAAGAAACTTCCCAGGCAAGCGCATCTCTAGCTCCAGTAACAGCCCTGTGTCCCGACTCCCTGCCAACCCATCCCGAGTGGATCGGCTGATTGTTGACCAGTCACGAGAGCACGCCAGGGTAGGCCTTGTGCAGCCACAATTCCTGCAGTTGTTTTCCTCTGTTTAAGGAAGACTTAGAAATACTTAATGATTTTGGTGTTTTCTGGCAGGTTCTCACATTAATAGGAAAAATGGAAAGGCTTTGTGGTACCTCTATGCATAGGAACATATCCACGGCTTTGGAACAGCACATGGAAGCCATTCAGGTCACACAGGCACGGCGCAAGGAGGAGATTGCTAATGCTGCTAATCCACAGAGACAAGGAGTGCCATGGTATAATAATGAGAAAGGTAAATGCTTCCCATTCCTCTAGCTTTCAAAGCTTTTTCTGATATTTATTTGTGTATATACTCCATTTGAAATATGCATGTCTGAAATATGTAGCAATTATTATAACCTCAGCTACAGAAAGTTTGCAAATCTAAACCTGTTGCATTTTAAGACTTTAAACTACTTTGAGATCCATTTTCTTTTTCTCTGTCACTAGTTTAAACACTTTGAAACATTTTCCTCTTGACTCAGAGAACTGTAAAAACTGTTCAGTGATAGAATATAACCACAAGTTGTCCTAAACGTAAAAATGTAGTTCTCAAAAAAGTAGAATGTCTTTTTTGGACTGGAATGCATGGCCCAGGCAAGTGGGTGGAGTCACCATCCCTGGAGGTGTTTAAGGGGAGACTGGACATGACGCTTAATGCCATGGTCTAGTTGATAGAATCATAGAGTCAGCAAGGTTGGAGGAGACCTCTATGTTCATCGAGTTCAAGCATTATTCTACCACTCAAGGCTGAACAAACCCAGGTCCCTCAGCCCTTCTTCATGGGACATGTTTTCCAGACCATTTATGAGCCTTGTTGCCCTTGGCTGGACTTACTCCAATGCCTCAATGTCCTTTTTTAATTGAGGGGCCCAAAATTGAACACAGCAGTCGACGTGTGGCCTCACCAATGCCAAGTGCAGGGGGATGGTCACTTCCCTAGTCCTGCTGGACACGCTAATCTTGATACGGACCAAGATGCCATTGGCCTTCTTGGCCACCTGTGCACACTGTTGGCTCATACTCAGCCACTGTCCACCAGCACCCCCAAGTCCCTTTCTGACAAACAACTCTTGAGCCACTCCTCTGCCAGCCTCTAGGACTGCATGGGGGCATGGGGTTGTTTTGTCCCAAGTGAAAGATCTGGCATTTTGCCTTATTGAACCTCATGCAGTTGTCCTCAGTGCACTGATCAAGTTTGTCCAGGTCTCTCTGTAGAGCTTTGCTACCCTCAGGCAGATTGACACTCCCACCCAGCTTAGTGTCGTCTGCAAATTTACTGAAGGTGCACTCAATCCCTGCATCCACATAATCAATAAAGATGTTAAACAGGGTCAGCCCCAATAATGACCCCTGGGGAACACCACTAGTGACTGGCTGCCAGTTGGATTGAGCTCCATTAACCACAACTCTCTGGGCCTGGCCAGCCAGCCAGTTCTTTACCCATCAGTGTGTCCGCACATCCAAGCCACAGATAGCTGGTTTTTCTAGGAATATGTTGTGGGAGACAGTGTCAAGTGCCTTGCTGAAGTCCAGATAGATGATCCAGGTAGCTGACATGGTGGTGTTAGGCCATAGGTTAGGCTTGATGATCTCAGAGGTCTTTTCCAGCCTGACTGATTCTGAGTGTCAGGCAGTGCATTACCAGCTTTAGCTGTTTCTTCAGCACAGTGTGCTCAAGGTGATGAGTTGAACCAATTTACAGAAGTCTCAATGTATAAAATTTCCAGGTTTGCACACTAATTTCACCTCTTGTTCTGTTGTAGATGTGGTGGCTCTGGCAGGTGCCATCAGAGAACTGGCTGCTGCCACACGCAGGGCTCGGACCGCTCTCTGGTGTGCCTTGCACATGACTTTGCCAAAAAACCCTTCAAGTGGACCAGCAAAGGAAGAAGTCCTTGAAAGGGCATTGCAAGAGCTTTGTCCTCCATGCACAAGCACACAAGAAAAAAGCAGCACAGAGCACGAAGACAAAGGAAGTGAAAAAGAAAAGCCTGAGGAAGCGTTGAGGATTCTAGAATAATAACAGTGATAATGGCAGCAAAAGGGAGGCAGAGGCCGAGGATGGGGAGGGAAGGGCACAGTGTCCTCCACAGCACCATGGAAGGTGGTTTTGATAGGATGCCAAAAAGCCGAAGGGTTGATTAACATGCCTGATGAATGATTCTGGTGTTGAGAGATGCATCTTGTAGTGTTAATGCAATTTGAATATTGCTGGGATTGCAGTGTCTGTAAAGGAATTTAGTCTTAAGAGGAACTAAACAATAGCTGAGCATTTCCTCGTGTGCTTGCCTAAAGCTCTGCATCAGCTGCGAGCCAAGCCATGACCTGAGAAAGCAGAGTGTGGTATGACTTAATTCACCTTGTTTTTGTTAATGAAACAATTTAGCATATTTAAAGGTACTTAATAGTTGTTGAGGGTTCAGGTTTTTTTGCACCGTTATATAGTTCTTTTAAGAGCCAAAGTAATCACTGAGTAGTTTGCATCCCCTCACTCTGTCAGGAGCAGTCCACACTGCTGTGCTTTGTGACAGGGACTCAGGTCATTCAGGTTATCACTAAGTTGGAGAATAATCAGTGTTTAATGTTGGTTGTGTGAGATGCTTCAGCATTTGTGCTGCCAGTTCAGTTTCTAGCAAAACCAGTGTAAACTGAGCTTTTCTATAGCATAATCCACTTAAATTTTTCCATTAAAAAGGATTTTGTAGCTTTGCAGTACATACTGCATGGAAGTACACGTTAGCAGGTGATATCAAACTGTCACTCAGGATTAGGAATTAGATTTATTGATTCCTCAGTGGGTTGAAAACCAATAACTATATAACATGGTACGCACTTAATGAAAAAAAATTACTTTCTGTTATTAATATAAGTTCATGGTACTATAGTTTCCAGAGACATTCCATATTTATTTTAATGTGTTTCTTGAATGTTTATTTAAAATTCTATTTTAGTAATATAAAGTGAAATATTTTGCCAAATCTTCCGAATGATCAGATTTAATGATTTACTCAGGAAATATCTATATTATTATATTAATAGACACATGGTATAGAGGGATTTTTTTGGGGGGGGGGGGAGGGATGTTTGCAAAACATTTACACAAAGCTAACTATGTCCTAGGTTACCAAAGCTGTTTAACTGATTTATTTTTTTGGCATGGAAGATTTAATATATTCAATTGCTGTTGACTTGTTTCCATTCTGTGGCTTAGACAATCAGAGTGTCTTAGTGTGTCTGTTCAGGGTGAGAATTAGCCAAGAATGAGTAATTCCAGGTATGTTCTTAGGGCATTTAGAAATATTTGAATGCTTTAACAACCTGTCTTACCATTACACAACCTCTTAACATGTACTAGTAATCAATTAAGGTTCTTAAGCATCAGTATATTAATGAGCAGCTTTGGAGAGCAGTTCTTATTTTAAAAGTGAATTAAGTTGGGGATAGAAGCCAAGTTTGAAAGAGGAAAAATAAAAATTTTCGTGTTGCATAGTGTTCAGTGTAGAATTTGACATTTTGTGGATAACTATAGAACTGTTTCCATATACATGTATGTAGTTGCCAAATGTTCCAAATGCAGTTGTGTAGTTTTGAATCTGTGGATGTTCCTAGAGCAGATATAGTCTCAATAGTCCCATTGTTACCTCTACTGAGGCAGTAGCATGTAAATTTGTAGCTAAAATTTACACAAGCCTCATTGTGATCCACTGAATCAAGTTTAAAAGCAAAAAATAGATAGAAATCAGATTCTTAGTGTAGCAAGACTGTTGGGGTTTTTTCCCTAAAGAAAGTGAATTCAACTTTATATTTTCAGCCTTATCCTAAAAACCAGGTAGTGGAGAGAGTTATTTCACTGTGTTTTCTCTGTGTGCACATGCAATTTATTTGCACAAACTAATTTAAGAAGGTTCAGTTCATGTTTGTGAAACTAATTAGACTCCACAGCTTACAAGTGGAGTTTGCAGTATTTCAGTTTATGGATGATTTTGTGGTTTAATTACTATTACTGTGTTGACAGGAAATCAGAATTTGAAAGTCTGGTTCAGCTTTTCTGTTTACAGAACACTTGTAGCCCTGCAGGGTTGTTTTGTAGTGGTGAATGCATAGGGAGTAGTTGGTCCTTACTATATTGCTTGTGTATTAATTACTCTTGTGAAGGAACATGGTCTTAATTAGTTCATAGTTAATGTGCCTTCAATAGTCTTATTTTCCCAAAATGGTAAATAGCTTTGTGCTCACTTGTCTGAAACTGCAGTTTAAAAATGCATTTTGAAGGGTTACAGCATGGCTGCATTTGACTACAGTTAGTTAATTATGTTAATTGCATATATTAGACCATCTAGTTTTGGGCTCTTTAATGAGCCTAATGCACTGTGGCTGTGAGTGTCACCACCAGAGTGTCAGTATAAGATGTTCCTTGTCATACCCTACAAATGTGACCAGCACACACTTGTGTTTCACTTTGCCTTGCTCTGTCTTCTCCGTAAAATCTCCAGATCTCCTAGCAAAATGATTTTTGTGCCATTTTCTTGAAGGATTCAATTATAGACATCATTAGGCCTCAAATGAATTTTGTCTGCAATTCTCAGTTCAGAATGCTTCCATTCTATTGCTTTATTACACATTTTTTGTATTTTAGGGGAAAACCTGCTCTCTTTTGTGAAATAGCACCTGGAGTTGCAGCAGCTTTGTTAGTCGTGCCATTTTTTTCTCGCTGCCTAGTGTTTCATTTGGCAACGAGGTACAAATTCTGTAAGTCTTGCATTAACTTTTTGGTGTGAATAAGTGCAAGTATAATGCTTGTGGGCTTAGGGACTAGTTGTATTTGTATCTTACTGACTTCAGGGGAAACAGAGTTGAGGTTTTAGGTCACAGTTAAGCCAGAGAGGTGATTTTTGGGCTGGAGTTAGGTTTGATTTATGAAATCTTCCCCCAATGTGTGGAGCAATCAGGCAAAATTTAATTTATTTCTCTTTTTCTAATTCCCATTTATTTAGTTAGTTTATTCCCTTCTTCTCTACTTTCTCTCCAGATTTGTTGAGATTTAATTTTTCTCTTTTGTTTTCCTGTTTTTATTTATGCAGTTTGAATTTCTGGATGAGGTGGTGTAGCTTGTCCTGGTAGCAGTGATCTTGGATTGCTCCAGTAAACAGGATACTTAGAGTCCTTCCTCAAGTCAGGATTATTATCACGGTGTATGTTTTGATAGTTGGGAGTGAATCTTTAATGCTTTAAAATCTTAAATTGGTAGTACAGTACAGCACAGACTTAGAAATGACAATTATTTCTGTATTCTGTATAAATAACTGGAGGCTTCTAGTGATTCAACCTTATTAATTCCCAGAAGAGAGGCAGCAGGGGCAGATTCCTTTTTGTTTGGTTGTAGCTTTCGTATCTCTGTTTTAGTTTTGTACCCACAGGGTCCCTCTGGCAGTTAAGTTACTCTGATGGTATTTATATAAACTAAAACTCAGAAATTTGTTATTTTCATTAGAGCAGCATCCAGGGAGTTTAAGTTCATGATGCTTATCTTGCTGTGGCCTTTTCAGGTGTGTATGTCAGACTATTAGTTCCAAAACTGCTGCTATTTGATTTATTTTCTTTCCAGACTGAATATTCTTTGCTGTTGGTATTTTTGTCCATACCTGGACACATATAATTTGGAAATTATTTGCCTTACAGCTTGGAAACTGCTGCTCAAGTTCCATAATAAGTCTCTCATGATTATTTCTGTCACCTTTTCTCTTTTGAAGTAAATGAATTATAGAAGATGGAGATTATGCAAGTGAGAGGCTTTGCTGAGGTCATTGCCTTTGCAGAGAAGTGTGGAGATACTCCAGGTTCTTGTGAAAAACTCTCTAGGTTTTCTGTGCACTTTTCCAGAGGTGGCTGTGAGCACAACTTCCTGGGATTGTGTTTGATCTGCAACCTACATCACCTCCCTTTCTGTTAGGGGATATAAAGGAGGAGAGAGGAACTACCAGAAGGAAGGAAACACTGAGCCACAGGGAACCCTCATTTGAATGGAGAGGATTACTCCTCTATTTGGCTTCCATGGTCAGCAAGGCCTGAACCTGAGGGGCCAGCAATCTGTCTTTCCTTAAACCATGATTCCTTTTTCCTCATCTGTTGCTCGCAGATGCTGTCAGGGTTCAGCTGCTGAGTCTTGTGGCAGAGTTGGCTTGTTCCTGTCCCTCTCTGGTAGCCATCCTTTCCCCCACGTGTGTTTTATTCACATGGAATCACACTGTGTCCCAGCTTGAGGGACTAGAAAAGGACTTGGGAGCAGCTGGTTGAAGCCAAGGGGTTATGGTCCTCCTTCTGGGATCTGGATCATCACCTCTCTCCTTCCAGTTGCTGTCTGTCAGGGAAGAGAATGAGGTAGGGTTGAAGCTCAGCTTTTCTGCACCTAGAAAGAGACAAAAGGTGAGGAATTCTGAGCACAAAATGTGTTTGTTTGTGGATAAATCTGTTCTTCCTCCAGTGCCAGCTTCCAGCTTCCCTCAGGGGGATAGTCACACATACACAACTTACTAAGTCATTAAATCACAGCTCCAATCCTATAGGAAGTTGGATTTTTGTTTATTTGTTTGTTTAAATGCTGTAAAGATTATGCAACAAACAGACCTTAAGCCTATATGTTTATTTTTTAAAGTTCTCTTCCTACCTGCTCTGGAAGCTTTGGGGTATTTTTTGTCCTTTTCCCTGTTTGGGAGCAGCAGTGTCAAAATACTGCATGTTGGTACAACTCAAAGCATTAGTGTTTGCAGTAGTGTTTGGGGATTTTCTTTTTATCTTTATTTCTCTGACCTTCTATATGTTCATAGATGTAAAACTAAGTGTTAAATTCCTTATAGCCACAATCTTCAATAGATTTATTTATTTTTCTTAATAGAGTCATTAAAGTGGAAGAACTTGAGTTGCTGATGATTTAACTCTTCCCATTTGTAGTTAATATTGAACAGGAACAGGGAATATGAGGGCAGTTGACTTGGGAATATATATTTTAATTATTATTTTTTA